CTCCACTGTCTTAAATCTAATGGAGATAAGAAACAGCCAATGTTGGATCTCCACTACCACCAGATGGACTGGATTAAAGGACTCCAGAACCATGAGGGCACTGCGAGGGTCAACTACAACCATAACGGAGGACTGACAGCAAGAAAGCAGTAGACGAAGAGCAGAGAATAGCATAAAGTTCTGCCGTGAAGATGCTAGTCTCTGGAGGCAGGAGACACATATAGGTGTGGTTAGGAAAAACTACTGAGTAGCCTACACCATCTGCAGACTTAAGACCCATCGGTGAAGATGGAAATGGAGGGGAAGTGGGAAGAAAAGTTTTCAAGGAAAAGGCATTTCAGAACTGTAGGAGGGGTAAAAGCTTTAGTCACATGGGTCAGGGTTTTGCAAAATTTAGGAAGGGGGGGACTCCACAGGGGAAAGGACGAAACAACACGAGGAGAAATACTGGTAACGCTAACAAAAAGAAAATTTTGTAGGCGACACAACCGGACAGAAAGAGGTAGATGGTGTAGGGTAACAGGGACTACAGGAGGGATAAAAATCTGACAGTATCAGAACACGAAACAATAGATATAAATTGGATAAGTTTAGATTTAGGAAAAACTTGGGTAAATATTGGTTCGGTAACAGGGCTGTTGGTCTGTGGAACCAATTACTGCGTAACGTGGTGGAGGTGGGGTCCCTCAATTGTTTCAAGCATGGGTTGGACATGTATATGAGTGGAATTGGGTGGTTATAGATAGGAGCTCCCTCGTATGGGCCAATAGGCCTTCTGCAGTTACCTTTGTTCTTATGTAGAGATCATGGCGGTCCTGGAGAGACAGGATGCCAGTTTCAACATACAGGCTTATGGTAGGAGTCGAACGAAAGGCATCAGAGCTGAGGCACAACCCAGGATGGGGCAGAGCCTCAAGACGGCAGAGGGTAGAAGGCGAAGCAGACGAGTAAGCAAGGCAACCACAATTGATTTTAGACAGAACGAGAGAGGAATGTAAAGAGAAGAACATGCACCTATCAGCTCCCAAAGAGGTATGGGACAAGATCTTAAGTAAGTTAAGGGCCTTAGAGCATTCAACATGGAGGCAAGAGATATGGGGAGACCAAGACAAACAAGTGTCAAAGATTAGTCCCAAAAACTTAGTAGAATCTTTGTACAAAATGGGATGACTATAAAGCGACAGGGGGTGGGGGAGGAACAAGGAATGACCTGCTTCCGAGTAAAAGTCATAGCACAAGTTTTAGTTGTTGAGAACTTGAAGCCATGATCGGTGGCCCAAGACAACACAGCATCAATCACAAGTTGAAGCTGCCATTGAAGGAAAGGTGAATCACCACCTCAACAGAAGAGGGTAAGATCGTCGACAGAGCGCAGAGAAGATGCCAGAAGGGAGGAAAGAAGACCATTGGGGGGCAACAAGGAAAAAAAAAGAGTAGTGCTCAGAACACAACCTTGTGGGTACATCTTGTATTGCTGAAAAGAGGCAGTGTGTGTGGTACCAAGCCTCACTCTAAAGGAACGACGAGAGGAATCTTTGGAGGAAGAGAGGGAGATTAACACGAAGGCCAAAAGAATGAAGTTGGGACAAAATATTGTATCTCCAGGTGGTGTTATATGCCTTTTCCAGGTAAAAAATGACAGCAACAATGGAGGTCTTCATAGTAAAAGTAGTACGAACATAGACCTCCAAGTCCACCAGGACATCAGTCGTGTTGGGCACTTGCAAAAACCAAATTGAGAAGGGGGAGAGGTGGTGATAGTGTTCTAAGAACCACATCAGACGGACGTTGATCATGCACTCAAAAAGTTTGCAGACGCAACTCGTGTGGGCAATGGGGAGGAAGTTCTTAGGAAGATGTCCCTAGAGACCCCAGTTTCCAAATAGGGAGAACAACCGCATAGAGCCACCGAACCACCCCCAGATACGGTTATACAGATTCAGTAAATACTGAGACGCGCATGAAGGGAGATGGCAAAGCATCTCATAATGAATGTCATCTGAGCCCGCTGCCTTAGAACTGCAGAGGGCCAGAGCAGACTGAAGTTCAGAGAGAGAAGGGATCATTATAGGGAAGTCAGAGACGAGTGCAGAAATCTAAGGCAAGAGATGCAAGAACAGGATTATGAAGGAAGTAAGTAATGAGGAAGATGAGAACTGGTCAGTCAAAAAGTGGGAACCCAGTTTAGTCGCGACCGTCACTGGATCTGTCACAAGAGTACCACGGAGGTGAAGGACTGGCGAGACATATCTGGAACAAACTTATCCGCTATCTTGTGGATTTTCTTCCAGATCTGCGGCAGAGGAGTATCGGACGTAAGGTGGAGACATAAGATTTCCAACTCTCACGTTTAGCTGTACTGATGGTTCTACTTGCCACCACTCGCGCCTTCCGAAAGAAAATAAAAGAATTGGCCGACTGCCGATTAGTGTTTCTTCCAGGCTACTCGCTTATAGCGGACAGCCCGAGCACAATCTGCACTCCACCAGGGAATGCACTTCTGTGTGCCCCGGGAGGTAGAGAGAGGAACAGAGCGGAGGGCAGCGTCGAATATGGTGTCATGAAAAAGGAGGAGGGCTCGAGGGAGAGGTAGAGCGGAGAAGTCGGAAAAAGTAGCATGGACGGTGAATAGATTCCAGTCAGCCTTGGCAAACTGCCACCTAGGGAAGGAGAGGGGAGGGAGAAAAGAGAAAAAGGTGACAAGGATGGGAAAATGGTCACCGTTATGGAGGTCATCAAGAACCCACCAAGTGAAATCTAAGTAAAGAGAAGACGAGCAGGGAGAAAGATAAAGACAGGAGAGGGTGCGAGGGCAGGAGTCCACATAAGTGGGTTCACCAGAATTCAGGAGAGACAGAAGAAGGGAGGACCAATGGTTCAAGGCGGCGGCCCCTGGTGTTTGTCAGAGCATCAACCCAGAGGGTATGCCGACAGTTCAAATCATCCAACAGGAGCACAGGCTCTGGTAAGGAGTCCAACAGGTACTCAAGAAAAGAAAAGAAGAAAAGCAAAACATTTGGGGGAAGATAAATGGAACAGACTGTATACCACTTACTCACAAAGATACGGGCCGCAGAACAGTGGATAGGCGACGAAAAAACTAGGGGGACAAAAGGAATTTTTTGTGCAAGAAAACTCGCATAGAAAGGGGGTATTTATTTATTAAATATAAAATTTTGAAATACTGTATTACATTTATAAGTAAATATTATAAACAAATATTTAATGTATAAATAAGCATATATGTAAAAATATAAATGCAAGTACAGTATATACTTATTAAACGAGTATAAATTTAATTACAAAAATATAAATGTAATTATTTATATTTACATTTTTTTACATTTCGGTTGTGGGTCTGAGGAAGGTGGCAAGGATGAAGACAGGAAGAGCGCAACACGCGAGCATAAGAGACATTAGCATAAGGCGGGAGCCGGCGAACCTGGCGCCTTGCCTCAGAAAAAGATAAACGCTCCCGGTGCTTCAAGTTGAGGACAGCTGCCTCAAGCTTGTAATGGATACAGGCACGGGAGAAGGTAGGATGGGCCTCACTGCAGTTGAGGCAGCGAGCCTGGGGAGAAGTGCACTCCGACTTAGAGTGACCTTCGCCCCACACAAAGGACAGAGAGAGAGAGAGAGAGAGAGAGAGAGAGAGAGAGAGAGAGAGTCCCAGAGCAGCGGAGGGCACCATGCCCAAACCTCCAGCACTTGTTACAAAGCCTAGGAGAAGGAATGTACTCCTGGACAGAGCACCTGGCACCAGCAAGAATGACAAGAGGGCAGAAGGGTCCTACCATCAAAAGTAATCTTCACAACCCGAAGGGGCTGACGGCGACGACCACGAGGGGGACGAGTAAACGTGTATCTGGAGGACAGAATGGCCCTAGGCCTAAGGGATATACTGAATATCATAGTGGCAGTCCTGCAGATTCCGAACACTGGTTGCAACATGGGGCGGAAGGAGAATAGTGCCAACACTGGCATTCAACCGAGCGTTCTTGGAGACCCGAACAGGGGTCTCGCCAAGGCAGGATAAAGCAGCCAAGCAGGAGGGTGCATCCTGAGAGGGAGCAGCAATGACACGTGTAGCGAGACGGGTGGGGTTGAAGGTGACAGAGGCATCCACGGAATCAACAAGGTGCCTATGAAGGGAGAAATCGTCAGGAGGCGCAGAATCAAGAGGGAGGAGATCAAAGTATTTGGCCCACGAAGCAGGACCAAACAAGGCCTGATAGGCATCAGAATGGGAAGGAATCGAGCGAGTGCGGCCATGTCAAGGACGGTGTTGAGAACCCCCAGAGAGAGGGGTTAAAAAGGCGCAGTAGTCACAACTAGAGACCAAGCCGTACCAGGGGACGAGGTAGTCACCACTGGGGGCTTGGGGCTCGACCCAACCACAGATGAGGGAGGGGAGCCGAGGGGAGTAGTTGGAGAGGCCAGAGGAGGAGCAAGGTCGGGGCCCAATGCAGCGGGGGTTACAGAGCCTGGTCTTCCAATACAGTCCGACTCAGGCTCGTGGAGTGGGCGACCAAGCCCCCGAGAGGGTACAAGAGGGACATTCAACGACATAGACACGAAAAGAAACAAGAGGCTTTACACTCACGAATGTGCCCCCACACCCACCATGGAGCCACAATTAGAGATAGGACACCCAACAAGAAGCTATCGCCGATCAAGCCGGGGCCCCCTAAGGGTGCGTTGTGAGTATACGCCCCACAAACGCCACCTTAAGAACCGTTAGTCCGTCGAGATCGGGTTCAGTGACGAAAGGGGGATTGACAAAAGGTTCCCCTCGCTCGAGACGTTGGGTACTACAGTTCTATGGGTGCAAGAGTAAGCCTCCTCAAGCACCCGGGCGTCAAAATAGAAGAGGTCCAAAGGAATAAGCAAAACAAGCAAAAGGTCGGCAGGAAACGACAAGCAGATAGGAGAAGAGGGGGGAGAAAAACGAAACAGAAGGAAAAGGAAAAGCTGTTCAGCACAATTAGAGAGGACAGCAGCAGGAGCACAAGGCTACAAAAGGACAGAGGACTGTCCCAAGGAGCATCACACTCCGGCAGCCGCCCACTAAGCCCCCCTCACGGCAACAACAGGATGAACAAGGAGGGAGGTTCATAAGGTAAAATAAACATGAAAACAGTACAACAAAACATTTATAATATTACATGTGCAGTATTATATTTACATTATAAAATGTCATACATGTATGGATGTTTTTGGGAGTGGAACGGATTAAATTTATTTCCTTTATTTTAAATGGGGAAATTTGTTTAAGACTAGTTTTCCACATAACGAGATCGGTGCCAGAACGGATTAAACTCTTAATCGAGGTGCCACTGTATAATTCTATAAGACAGTAAAGGACAATAAATTTCTTAGTAGACCCAATAAACTGTAAAATCATTCTTAAGGAAGCAAAACTAATCTCATTAATTCACATCAGCATGTGAATTAATGTCCAGAGTAGGGATAATGATTCTGCAGAACCCTGCCCACAGTTTCTCAAAAATCAGGATAATTGAGCATTCATAAACTTCAATATCCCTTGTCAAGTTCATCGGCAAGTCCCTGGGGAAGCATAATCACGATATCTAATGGGTGCCAAGTGAGGCGCACTGCCAGATTTAAAAAAAAAAAAATCTTAGAATGTTGTTCAGAACATTTTATACAGTACCTTGAGAAATGATGTAGGTTACCTCCAAAAATTTAGTTTTTAATACACTTACACTTATATTGGGTCTTTCCTTCACCTTCATTCATTTGTAGAACATTTCTTCAATAACATCACTGGTATAAAACCTAGACAATAACAATTTAAATCAACATTTGATAACAGCATTTCTCTGAATCTATGTATGATGACAGCTGCACTTTGAGGATTAACACTCAAATGAAAATGATACAGTAATCTGAACAGGTCAAATACAAAAAAGAATGCCTGTTGAAAAATGCACCACTCTCCACCCTCCTTCCACCACCAAATCCTCCTCTCCCCACCGAGGGTCAAAATGGTTTTGTACCAATAGTGCATTACTGTGTCACCGAGGACGTGGCGCGAGACCTGCTATTGACAAACACTCATTCTCCCAGTGACACCACTCCCAACACCCCTTAGTATAAATCTCAGATAAACCTTCGAGTTATTTTATTTAAATAATTATTATTCTATATAATTTGTGTTTCACATTAGGGAATGAAGGCTCTGCCATTCCAATTATATATTTTTCTAAATTTCGTATAAAGTTGTTCTATTTCCAACTGTTCGTTTTCCACATATGTCTGTGATACCGAAATCTGGTCAGGAAGGCCCGAGTAAAATTTATGCAAAGCCTCAACCTGGAATGAAAAGAACCATATTAAAAATTCACCCACAATGAATGAGTAAATTTAAGAAGTATATATTTTTTAATAATATAAGTACAGTATATTTAATAATAAAAAGTATATACTGTATATAAATAAGAATACTTTTTTTATATCAAGAATTTGTCAGTCTTCCAACAGTATCCACTTAATTTAACAGCCTATATGGGGCTGTACCCTGGTCGTTATTTCCGGAGCTCCGGTATTTCCGAAGTCAAGTTGGGTCGGGTAATTTTTCAAGTAACATTCAGGTAAGATATATTTTATACTGTATAACTAAAATTAAATAAAGTTCATTGTGTAATTGCGTTCCAATTTAGTGCCGTGCCCTTCCTACTTTACTACAAATCTTGGTATCATCTGCAAATTTAATAATGTGGTTTGTAGTACTGTATTTCCATCTATGAGAAAATAATGATCATCATCATTATGATGATGCTGGAGGTGGTGGGGGTGATTTGAACCTGCACATTGGGTACTCCCAAGCACATGCCTAAACCACTGGGCAACAATATGGAGTGTGTCTGGGAGTACCCAGTGTGCAGGTTGAAATCCTCCTCATGGATCCTAACTGATTTTCTCACTGATACATCATGCTAATGTGATTTCTTTGTGCATTCTCATCTATGCCACAGGTGTAAATGCTATCTATCAGTGCTAGCTACAGGAAGCTACTGTTTGACCCCTTCAGAAATAATAATTGATACTTTTTTAAAATTATCAGACTTTTATAATATAAAAGATGTGTGTGTGTCTGTGTGCACCCTTAAGACAAGGACACATAGCAACCTTCAAACTTGCATGAGGTGAGATGGAACTCTGAAGATGCATCCATAGGTCTAATGAGTCCTAATTGGGATTTCCAGGGCCCGCAGGTTGACTGCTACAGGAAGCCCAGGCAAGGTATTGCAATACCGGCTGGGCCCAAACTAACAAGAAAATCTGCTAAAGATGAACCCCAGCGATGTGTCCAATCACGGGGGCCTAGAGGAGGGCTACCCAAACAACAGAAGTGGTCCAATAGCCAAACCAGGCAGACCCCCTCCAGGCAAGAAAAAAAATTAAATAAAACCCCCGCAAAAGGACAACGTCTCCAAGAGGAACAGAAACCGGTCGCCGCGTAGGTAGGCAAGCTGCACAGTACCAGCAAATATTCCCACTTCCTACCCAAGGCCAAACAGAAGCCACAAAAATCCTCAGCCGGACCCAAGGATGGGGTAAGAGTCGAGCGCCAAAGACCCCTACGGAAGTGGTTCCCGAAAGTTCTATGGAATGGAACCCTAGAACCCAAGGGTAGTACTTACAGGGTGCCCAGGGAAGAGAACCCCGAGCACAAGCAGCCCCATTACTATTCAAAGTACACCTGGTTTGCATCTCACAAACAGCAGAAACACACCACGAAGGCACACAACTGCACAGGAATCAGAGTCCAGAGTCAACGTCTGCCTCAGACAACATCAGCCAACAAACTGGATGGCTTTGGTAGTCGGCATGGGGTGGGGTCCGGGGCTGCATGGATGGGTGGTGCGGTGTAAAGTTTGCTCGTTTCCTCAAGTTGTAGGTCGAGTTCTGCCTCCCTGTTCTGTTTTCAGTTGCAATTTCTTGCCTAGTGGGGTTTGTTTTGTTATGCCTACCTTTCTGGGTGCCAACCCCGTTCAATGGCAGACATGGAATGCCCCCCAGTCACATGGGACTTCTATAGGACATTGCTCCCCTCACCTCTCTGAGGGAGGCCAGGTTTTGGCTTGTGATCCCCGATAGGCTGAATGCCAATTGACCGATGCCCCAGACTAATATAATACATATCAGACTAATAGCTCCAGGGAGCCATAGGGACTCCCTTCAAAAATAATATTAAAAAGATTTTTTTTTGTTATTAAAGTGAAAGGATAGAATGAGAGAATGACCAGCGAAGGAATTAACAAGAATATCGGTGCTCTGTAAGGAAAGAGTATCAACGACAATGAAAATTCTATTCAGCATCATGAGCTCATTAAATACTGTAGATAATTTAATACCATATATGAAATGTTTAAAAAGCCTCTTTTAACTAATAAGCACTTAAAACAAAAAACATATACTGTGGTGAAAATGACTAACCTCTGAACTAGCAAGCTTTAGTTGATGTATTTTCTCATTGAATGAACGTTGAAGTTTGTTAGCGTCACCTTTAGAGCGTACATTCGTCTGACACTCTTCAATAAAATTAACAGATACCATTGCCATACTCTCTTGAAAACGCCGTGAGCTGAAATTAACATTTACAGCACATGCTCGTTTTCTGGGTGGCTCCACACCGTTTTCCTCAAATTCACGTTTCCGTTTCTGTGCTACCCTCGCTCTTGAAGTGTTTGATGCATCTATGTGGAGATGCAAAAACATTCAACAGTACAGTATTCAGAAAAGTATGTATACCAAAAAACTCATTTAAAAAAGGATTAAAATAATGAGGGAATAAAAATAATGAGGTTCAATACTGGTGTTACGATACAACCATACAAAAAATTGTCAAGTGTCAGAAAACTGGCAAGAGTCCACTAGGAGATGTTCAAATAAAGTGAACTAGGGTTGTAAATGAGGGTGAACAAAAGTAGACCCCTTGCCATTAGTTGATTAATTCCAATTAAGGCTATTCATGATCAACATATTATACATTTTCTGTAAATCTCATGGCAAATATTTTCATTTAACACCTTTTTTTACTCAACAAATTTGTAAATAAATAATATCACCATCAGATACACTATAAATAACATCTGTAGAGAATACTGTACCACAATATCCAGTGACACAATCAGTACATAATATTACTGCCTCAGCCTAGTTGAACTGTATGAAACTAAAAATTCACTAAACAAGAAGAAATATTTTAACAATGCCCAGCTTTTCCTATCAAAGGAAACAAGGGAATAAAATCCAAAGAATGCCATCATGAATACAGCAACACCCATACACCAGGGGAATTTTTTTAGTACTGTACAAGAAAAAGTATGGCAAGAAATGTTTGAACTCTACCATCAACTCTTGTAGTCACATACTAAACTTTTCACATAATCAGGCACCCTTACTAGAACCAGATATTAACACAAGTAAAATACCCAGAGCTTTCAGAAATACAATAACATCTTTCCTATTTGCCAACAAAGTATCAAAACACACAAAACTATGTTCACTTTGTAATTGGCCTCTTCAATGAGGCAACTGCAATGTTTGCAGCTTTAACTGAAACTTACACTAAGGACAATTATGACAATGAGATAGGGATACTGGAGTATAATCTTTTCAAATGTGACAAACCACAGGCTACAGGTAAAGACACTCATCTGCACCGTGCTGCTGAACACCATGAACGATATGGTGGAATGAGAAAATCAATGGAATGAATATCACCGTGAAAAATGGTGAAAGAAAAAATGAAAATGGAAAGAAAAAATGATGGAAATGCTGTAAAAACCCGATCTTATCTTCCCTTACTTCACTCAACATCCCAGCTCAACACTGCTTGCAGATCACTGTGACCCTCAATGATCTGCCACTTAATATTGAGACAAATATTAAATGAGGGGAAAAACAAGAGAACGGATTATTAATTTTAAAACTAATGAATAAAAACTTAATTGTACACTGCCACCACCTTCCCATCCCTGAATCTGAATGTGTATTAGTGATCCCCCAGGAAGGAGAGAGCTCAATAATCATGAAACTCTAGAGCCTATGAATCTTGGGAACTAATTTATATAATTTTACTTTACTTATTGAGGATTCAGGGGCTTCCAATACCACACGAGAATACCACATATAAAAGGAATAACGCAGCATTAATCAAAGGGGAACATAACTAAACAAATACATTAATAAACTTTATTATTTAAAATCACGTATATTGAACACAAATTGAGAGAAATCCTACCTGTAAATACCCTACAAGGCAAATAGTTTGATTCAATGATGTACATGATCACTCCAGCACACTTTGCCTTAATGCTGCAATCTGCCAAATATGTTTAATGGCTTGCCCTCCAGATCAGATTTGTACCCCAGTGAAGCCCCAAGATACACTAACTCCCATTTCTTTTGACTACCCCAGGGAGGCTTTATGTTTCTCTCACGAGCTTGGCTCCAGGCTAGGAGCCAATCCATCTGTTGCACGTAAAAGCAACACACGCCATACTAAATATGTTATAATTCCATTTCAATGTTACTGATTGCATTGATTGCAATGCAATGTTACCGATTGCATTAAATTTCCGTAGATTTCAATTATTTTGATTTTTATTTAATTATTTTATGTGACATTGCGTTGGAATTGAGCTGTGTTGTTTACCATAACGTTCATTTCTTGAGAAGTTTATTTTTTATTTGTTTATTTTTTCATTTTTTTTTTTTTAACTTTTCTTATTTAAAATTTTTAGTGAATGTATTGTATACTGTGGGCTGAGGTTGGATTTAAATTGTCAGGCTGCTATTGCAGGGGAGAGGATACTGCTTGACAGTTTTTATAAGGGTGTTCAGCTGCTGGTTTTCAGTGATGGGAACACATCGGAAGAGGGCGGGGGGGGGGGGGGGGCGTGGGAAGTGGGGAGGACGAGGGAGGGGCGGGCGGGAGAGCGGGGAGGACGAGGGAGGGGCGGGCGGGAGAGCGGGGAGGACGAGGGAGGGGCGGGCGGGAGAGCGGGGAGGACGAGGGAGGGGCGGGCGGGAGAGCGGGGAGGACGAGGGAGGGGCGGGCGGGAGAGTGGGGAGGACGAGGGAGGGGCGGGCGGGAGAGTGGGGAGGACGAGGGAGGGGCGGGCGGGAGAGTGGGGAGGACGAGGGAGGGGCGGGCGGGAGAGTGGGGAGGACGAGGGAGGGGCGGGCGGGAGAGTGGGGAGGACGAGGGAGGGGCGGGCGGGGAGAGTGGGGAGGACGAGGGAGGGGCGGGCGGGAGAGTGGGGAGGACGAGGGGGGGTGCAGGGGAGTGGGGAGGACGAGGGGGGGTGGGGAATGGTTGGGAGGACGAGGAAACGGGGAGGATTGCTGTGGTTCAGCAACACGCATGCGTTGCTGGGTACAGCACATGGTCAAAGGAGGAGCTAGATAGTAAACGTGAAGGTCTTATAACAATAATGAGAGAGATTATAGCGGGAGCGGATAACGATAGATCACGACTGTTGATAGTCGGTGACTTCAACTTGAATTCCATAGACTGGGAAGCATATGAAGCTAAAACAGAAGATTTTTGGACCTGTAAATTTGTAGACCTCATCCTGGAAACATTCTTGTATCAACATGTTAAACAAGCTACGAGGATGAGGGAAGGGGACGTTCCCTCCATGCTAGATTTGATATTTACCAGGAAGGAGGAAGAGATATTTGACATTCAGTACCTTCCTCCCTTGGGTAAAAGTGACCATGTCTTTTTGGGAATAAAGTATGCAATGCGTTATAAGCTGGAAGAAAATAAGGAGGTTGAAGCAGTTGAAAAACCAGACTTCAGGAGAGGACATTATGGTGACCTTAGAAATTTTTTTAGTAAGTATAATTGGACAGACTTGATGCTAGGCAAGGAAGTGAATGAGATGTATGGCAAGTTTTGTGAAATATATGATAAAGGCACAAAAAAATTTATACCAAAACAGATGCAGAACTAGGAAACAGGATTGGTTCAATAGAAATTGCGAGAGGGCTAGAGACCGAAAGACACAAAAATGGAATCAATACAGGAAGAGGCCGAACCCCCAAACATACCAGCGATACAAAGATGCGAGAAACAACTACACGGCAGTGAGGAGAGAGGCAGAAAGAAATTTTGAAAAAGGGATTGCGGACAAATGTAAAACAGAACCAGGTCTATTCTATAAATTCATAAACAAATTGCAGGTAAAGGATAATATTCAGAGGTTGAAAATGGGAAATAGATTCACGGAAGATGAAAAGGAAATGTGTGAAACACTAAACGAAAAGTTCCAAAGTGTGTTTGTACAAAATGAAATCTTTAGGGAACCAGATACAATAAGAATTCCAGAGAACAACATAGAACACATAGAGGTGTCTAGAGACGAAGTGGAAAAAATGCTCAAGGAGCTCGGTAAGAACAAAGCAGCTGGCCCAGATGGCGTTTCACCATGGGTTCTGAGAGAATGTGCATCTGAGCTCAGCATTCCACTTCACCTGATCTTTCAGGCATCCCTGTGTACAGGAATCGTAGCAGACGGGTGGAAACAGGCTAACATAGTTCCAATCTACAAAAGTGGCAGCAGGGAAGACCCCCTCAATTAGAGACCTGTATCATTGACAAGTGTAATAGTGAAAGTATTGGAAAAACTAATCAAAACTAAATGGGTAGAACACCTAGAGAGAAATGATATATCAGACAGACAGTATGGTTTTCGATCTGGAAGATCCTGTGTATCGAATTTACTCAGTTTCTATGATCGAGCCACAGAGATATTACAGGAAAGAGATGGTTGGGTTGACTGCATCTATCTGGACCTAAAAAAGGCTTTCGACAGAGTTCCACATAAGAGGTTGTTCTGGAAACTGGAAAATATTGGAGGGGTGACAGGTAAGCTTCTATCATGGATGAAAAATTTTCTGACTGATAGAAAAATGAGGGCAGTAATCAGAGGCAATGTATCGGAATGGAGAAATGTCACAAGTGGAGTACCACAGGGTTCAGTTCTTGCACCAGTGATGTTTATTGTGTACATAAATGATCTACCAGTTGGTATACAGAATTATATGAACATGTTTGCTGATGATGCTAAGATAATAGGAAGGATAAGGAATTTAGATGACTGTCATGCCCTTCAAGAAGACCTGGACAAAATAAGTATATGGAGCACCACTTGGCAAATGGAATTTAATGTTAATAAATGTCATGTTATGGAATGTGGAATAGGAGAACATAGACCCCACACAACCTATATATTATGTGAGAAATCTTTAAAGAATTCTGATAAAGAAAGAGATCTAGGAGTGGTTCTAGATAGAAAACTATCACCTGAGGACCACATAAAGAATATTGTGCAAGGAGCCTATGCTATGCTTTCTAACTTCAGAATTGCATTTAAATACATGGATGGCGATATTCTAAAGAAATTGTTCATGACTTTTGTTAGGCCAAAGCTAGAATATGCAGCTGTTGTGTGGTGCCCATATCTTAAGAAGCACATCAACAAACTGGAAAAGGTGCAAAGACATGCTACTAAGTGGCTCCCAGAACTGAAGGGCAAGAGCTACGAGGAGAGGTTAGAAGCATTAAATATGCCAAAACTAGAAGACAGAAGAAAAAGAGGTGATATGATCACTACATACAAAATAGTAACAGGAATTGATAAAATCGACAGGGAAGACTTCCTGAGACCTGGAATTTCAAGAACAAGAGGTCATAGATTTAAACTAGCTAAACACAGATGCCGAAGAAATATAAGAAAATTCACCTTCGCAAATAGAGTGGTAGACGGCTGGAACAAGTTAAGTGAGAAGGTGGTGGAGGCCAAGACCGTCAGTAGTTTCAAAGCGTTATATGACAAAGAGTGCTGGGAAGACGGGACACCACGAGCGTAGCTCTCATCCTGTAACTACACTTAGGTAATTACAGCTAGTAGTAATTATAAATGTGGTGATTGCCCCCCCCCACCCCTTTATACAAATCACCAGATGTAAATCCTTAGCAGTTCAAAGACCAACTTATGAAAATAGACTACCACTTAGAAAACCTCACAAACCCTAACCCATTCATCATCTTGCTTAGTGATTTCAACTTGGGGCATCTAAAATGGAAAAATGTGGCAAATACTGTTATACCAGAGTGCGTCCCAGGAAGTAGTCTAAATGAAGTTACACACAAATGACCTCTTGTAGATGTGCAAGTTTTTCTTCAACAATCAGTACAACCCGTCCTCACACTAAGCTGTTGAAAGAAGCGGCCATCCTCCCCAGATGCAATCATCAATTTTAACATACTGTGTATTAAAAATTGGTTTGTTCAATTATATAAATTAATATTATACATAAAAATTCTATGTATAGTTAAGCATAGGTTAGGTTAGGTGTTTAGGTTCTGTTGGAAATTATTTGTATTTGAAGTACGTGGGTGAAGCATTTATAGAATTGTGGTTCAAACAGAGGACGTGAGCACTTGTTCCGGAAGTGTTCAGATGTCATCAGTTGCGAGTTGTGTGTAAACCTCTTTTCATTCATAAACAGGAGGTTTGGCTGCTGGATTAACGAGCTTGGATCTTTGGATGTGAGGACGGGTTGAACAGTAAAACCAACAGTCAAGAGAGAACCAAAAGAGCATAAGCTCAGACCTCTGCAAGTACAGGTACAGTCAAATCCCATTATGCTACAGTCAAAAAGTCATCCCCAACAACACAAGACCCACTGCAGAAGGTGCCAGAGCCCACGAAGGGTCAAACAAGACTCAAGGGCCCAACTCTGACTACCCCCGAGCCTCGTGAACAGCATAAGAGGGCTCTGGAGCAGAGCCATTGTCCACACCCACTGTTACCATTAGCATCCACTCAATAAACCTTCTAAATAATGGGTACCACTTAAAAATTTAAATCTATTCCCTAGAGTACAGGGGAAGAGACAAATAACTTACACTTGGAAAATACTTTAAGGACTGGTTCTAAATCTGCACACAGAAAT